GTGTTTATCTGGGAGGGGTGCTGTTGTTTAGATCACATGTGATGATGTGATTCATTGACAGTCATACCTTCTGCTGTTGACTGGTAGATAATTAGTTATTAGCAGTACTGCATTTTAATTTTAGAAAGCACAAATCCGCTTATGAATTATAAAAATTAGTAAAACTGCTACAGCGCAAATGCAATATTTAGGTCCACAAATAGCAAATTTGTGCTTTAGCGGGGCTGGTGCCCACCACTGCAAATATTTAACATTTTAATGCTGTTTTTTTTAAGCCTATTGCTCACTGGCTATAAAAAAAACACACAGACAAACCCAGTGGTCACAAGGGGGTGGGATATTGATCACTGTTGGCTTTAAATGGCCATCACGGCACGTCTCAACCAATGAGAGCCTTTGTTGTTGGGTCATTGCCTAGCAACGCTCACATGAACCTATCAGAAAATGAGTGGCAAGAAGAAACATGTCTCAAATATGAGATTATTTGTGATTAATCTTGAATATGTCTTGAGATTAATTGCGATTAATCTCAAAAAAGTCTTGAGATTAATCATGATAAATCTTAAAAACGTCTTGAGATTAATAGCAATTTGTTTCAAATAATAAGTTTGCTAAATAGGGAAGTTGACATAATCCTTTTTTTAACCAAAGAAGAAATTATATGTACATTTTGTTAAGTTGTGGTAAAATATGTCAACACAGTTCAGTAAAATGATTCCATTACAAGTTACTGTACATTGAGAATGTAGCCAAAAGTGACATAAATCCAATTTCTTTTGCCGTATCCAAATAGAGCATTAAGACTTGCAGAGTGGAACGTAGCCTGAAGTTAGATCTCACTGTCTAAAAAAAAAAAAAAAACTGGTTTTGTCAGACAAAATTCCCACAGTAACCAAAAACCATGAGGTGTCAGTTAAAATSACACATGCCTCATTTCACACAAACAAGTGCACAGGTTATAGAAGAGGCTTTACTGGACTTAATCATGTCTTAACAGGACTTTACATTTACTGATTACACAACAGAACAACATGTCATAATCAACACTGCTCCCATTTATGAAGCATTTTAAATTTAATTAAGTGAATGTTTTGGTAAGAGTTTATAATGAGTTAATGAAAAACATGTGGATCAAATATTTTTAACCACATCTTCGTTAACATCATTCATGATGTCGGCCGACAGAAGAGATATAGGAGCCAGATTATTAGCAAAAGAACGGAAATTAAAAAACAGAACTGTAGATTATTTCAAACAAATAAGTAACTCCCACGGTTACTTAATGCAGGGTTCTGGTACAAGTAGATGTTTGTGTTGTGGATCCTGTTTCTGCTGCCCTCCTGTGGCAGAATCTGTTACTACAGCTTTACATGATACAGAATCACAGATTATTAGATTTGGTGCTAAATTTGGTGAAACTTTTAGAAGTTTAGGCGACTTTTAATGATGTCAGAACAGACCTGAGGAGTTCYTTTTAGAATACTGAATAAAATATTTGTATATAAATGAGCTGGGTCTTATATCAGAGGAGGAAAGACTTCCTGAAAAAACTGGGTGTATCGAGGTCACTTCCTGTCTGCAKTTTTCTGTGACTTTAGCTGTTTTGTTTTTGGCTTCTGATTTTGCTTTTAAGAGATTTGGAGTCTCTCACACTGGTTAGGGGTGTGTTTGGGTGTGTTAAATGTACTGTGACWTCGTTGCATAACTTGAGGTTAAATTCCCACTGAAACAAACTGTTGACAATAAGAACATAAAAGAAAAATCAAACCTCTCTTCAGCTCTATTAAATAACATTTCAGCATAAATCCGTGTATGATTCGGTCTTTGGTTTGGTCATTTCAAAATAAAACCATGTTGTTGTTGTTTTTTTTCTGTTTTTAAACCTGAATGCAAAACTAAATACTGTATGTGGCTGTTTTAATATGCGGTGGTACCAGRAATGACAGACATCAACAGAAAAGAAGACCAAAAAAGACCAAGAAAACCAAAACTAGTCCTAACGATATTGGCATCCGCTGCACTCGAACCTTATTCGGCCTAACGTTTTTGTTCACGGGAAGATGGACTTCCTCTAAATAAGACTTCCGCCTGTTTCTAAAGTGCTCAGTGAAACCATAATGCACCAGGAGTTCAGGCTATGATGATTTCTGGTTCTGCCAGGAAGTCACAAACGATGCGCT